CTTTGCATTGCATGTGCATTGGTGTGCCTAGGACACCGTGTTTGCCATCTGCCATTCCTGAACGGTTTGCCGGAGGCTTGACTTTGTCAAAGCGTGCCATAAGGCTGACCGGTTGTGGGCTCTGACAGTATGGGAACACAAACCCCAGTTTTACTGGGGCACCCTTTTCGACCATTCTACCTAGTGCATATCGGAATCCATAGTGACCATTCCAAATTAGGACAGGTTGCTTACCCGATCGTAGGTTGTTTGAAATTGCTGCGTGCATAGTGAAACCCTAGCTCCGGACAAAATAGGACAGGGAAACCCTACCCCAACTTAGGGGTGTTTTGGCTCTCTTTTACTTGCTATGTGTTTTTAGAATGTATCTATGCAGGGAACACACATATCAGTTTGCAAGTTTGAGTATCAGGCCTGAGGGCACCAGTATCAGTTTATGAGAATCAGTTATATCTGTGGGTATCCGATTCAATATTTTGGGGGCAGTGATTTCCGGCAACAATGGTCAGCAGTAGAGTACAGTTGTTCGGCTACATCTGTGTTTGATCCATTTGCGCTGAAACGCTACTTGTTTTTCCTTTCAGTTCAGAGAGTTGATACAGAATAGCTAGTGTTCCCCCTTGCGGAGGCAAGATAGATATCTGATCCGTCAGTCACCGTTCAGTACAGCGGACTTATCAAGACGCAGAATTCAGAGGAGATTGTGGTTATGACGGCCGCATTAGATCAAGGAATCGCTCTGCAAAGCGAGACCAATGTAGATGTACCACATCCACCCAGGTCACCTGTCGCACACCCGGTCTGGACCCCCCAGTTGTATCAGGCTCGTGAGCCCACCACATTCGAATTGATGGGAATGATAGGTAACCTCCAGAGGTCTGTGGTGGATCTCGCTTACGGAATGTTAGCTTCGCCACCAGCCGCACCGTATGCCAGGAATTTTGTACCACAGGAGCCCCCACTGTTGGGACGGATTGTGATCGAACTTAGCCAACCCGAGGTGGCCTCCAACTATAACAGCGACATATCAACATCAACCCAAACCCTCGATCAGGATGAGGCCAGAGGCAAGAACAAAATGAAGGAAGATGCCGATCCCATTGAACAACTACTATGGGCAGTCGAGGCTTTGAAAGCCGAGGGGATGAGTAAACAATAGGTATTCGTAGTCGTAGCTAAGGCTGTGGATGATGTTTTCCCCACTCCAACCGAAAGTAGTACAAGCCAGTTAGAAAATTGGGATAGGCCCCGTTATGGCAGAACAGTTCCTTCCACTCCCAACCCTGCACTTGGGAAAAATGAGAAAGCCAAGGCGGTGCCTGCCGACCCTTTTGCTAGTGCGTCTAGCAAGAATACTCAACCTTCAAAGTACCTGCCCCGAGGGCGCAGGGTCTTTCACGCTCTCTATATGCCGTTGTCAAAGGCACTTCAGATCCTTGCCGAAAGGGGGCATCTTAAACCCTTGGAGCCTCGGCCTCTCCCAAAGAATCTCCCTACTACACATGATGCTGCCATGTACTGTGCGTACCACCAGCAAACCGGTCATGCTATCGACAATTGTTTGCGCCTCCGTCATGAGGTGCAAGACTTGATCGACAACGAAGTTAGCCTCCCGCCCACATCAGCCAAGTCCGTTACTACCTAGTTATTGGATTTTGAGGATATTGATACTGCGAGTATGTAATCAGGAAGTGAACCACCTGCGGGCGGCGCTCGGCGTATTTTGGATGTGGCGTCTGGCACGCATTTTTGGAGCATCTGCGAATGCTAGCTTTGTAAATTCTGGTTTGGGTCTCGAGTCAGTCTTTTGTTTTGTTTGGAGTCTGTCTCATTGTCTTGAGTCAGTCCTTTTGCTTATGGGTCTGTCTTGTTGTAGCGAGTCAGTCCCCTTTGTATAGAATGTCGGGTGATTCTGGAGCTGTTGCCTCGAACACCGTTTTGTTTTGTAATTACCCTTTTGCTTTCTTTTGAAGTTCTTTCTCTGTCATGGAGCCAGTTGCACCAGGGAATCTGAATGAAACAGCTGCGGCTATCATGTTTTCCATGCTTACTACTATTTTGAATTAGTTGCGCCAGGGGACTTGAATGGAACAACAGTACATTCCACCTGTTCTCTGTGCCCTGAAAATCTTGCATTGACCTAAGTTTTTCAAAACTTTTTGAACACTGCGGTGAAACAAAGAGGAAGGAATTCCTCGGGTTTTGCAAACTTGATCATTTGAGAGAAAGAGAGGCGTGCTAAGCCCTTAATGATTGAAATCATGCTTGTTGCGTGAGTACTGAGAAGGACCCTGGCTTGTCCAGATTGGTTCCACACTATCTTCAGCGCGAAGCGATTTGTCGCTTCTTTAAAACTTTCAAAAATGTTTTGCGCGGTTCCTGCGAAGACCTGTGTGGATCACTCTTGAGATTGTGCAGCTTAGGATCGCTCTCAGCCTCAAGACTCGAGCCTTGTTTTAAAAGCCTTGAACCACAATTCGGAGTGTTCACGATCGACCATCAAGAGAGGCCTGTTGGCCAGATTGGAAGCAGCCCTCGAACAGAGGCACCAAATCAGATCAAAGAAGATCAATCTCATCAGAAGAAGCCTGTAAAGCTAGAACAGAAGCACCCCTCTGAACTAGGGGTAAAAGTGTCTGATTTTTCGAAGAGCCGAAGATGGGTCCTTCAGTAAGTCAATGCAACAGCCACTCTCCTAGATACGGATGGCTTCAAAACCCTAAAACCATTTGGCATGGACTTGTTACACTTTTACCCTTTGAGCGGCTCGCTGGGCCGAAAACCCGGAAGGGCGACCCAGGCAAAAGTTAGAGCAAAAGAAAATATATACAAAAAAAAGGAAAAAATATACAAAAAAAAGAGAAAAAATATACAAAAGAGAGATATATACAAAAAAGACAAAAAAATAATAATATACAAAAGAGAGAAAAAAAGAAAGGGAAGAAAGAAAAAGGAAAGAAAAGCTCGCAAGGTCGAAAACCCGCATCGGGCGCCTTGGCAAAAGTTAGAGCCTAAAAAGTGAAGGTTAATACCCGAGTGTACCTTAACCGGAACTACGCAAGGCTTGATTCCCATGTTTGGGATACGTAGGCAACTTCGTCCTGAAGTCCAGCCCCCAATGCTCTCATAGCACCTCAGTCCATGTAATGGTTTTGATTATTCTTGCCCTCCCCGAATCCGATAGTTCGGTTGTGACAACCGGATACGTAGGCAACTTCATCCCAAAGTCCAGCCCCCAACACCTTCAAAGTGACTCTGTCCATATATTGGTTTTGACCATCTTCGTCTTCTCTGTATCCAAGAAAGTTCGGTCGGGATCATCACTAGTGAGGACTATTTACAATATACTGCGGCATCATCCAGACAACGGGCAACTTTCCGTTGCCATGAGTCGCCGTTCAAACCAGGGGCAACTTTCCGTTGTCGTGCAGCGTCCTTCAAACAAGGGGCAATTTTCCATTGCCTCTGATCCGAGGTTGTGCATCTCGAGAGTGAGTTCCGTGCTCGTTGCGCGGCGGCCGTTCGCCAAAAAAAATATAGTTTTTGAGAATTTTTACTGAGGATGACTAGTTTTCTCGAAAATTGTTTTATTTTTCAAAACTGGACCATTTTCTAGGACCCAAAAAAGGAAAATTTTCAGTGCTCATAGCCTGACTTGCATGGTTTTCAAATCAAAAATCGAACAAGTGTGTTAATCTAACTCTCATATTGGTCAAAATTGTTTTAGTAGAAAACCAAAACAAAAATGGTCATAATGATGAACTAGGGGCACAGTTGAGTTAGGCGCCCTGTCTTTCCCCCATCGCCAACATATTTGCCAAGAAGGGCACAACTCAAGCTGTCATTAAAGGGCTAAAAGATCTCTCAACCTCCGAGTAACGAGGTATCGAACCAAGTGCGAAGCACGAATCTAAAGGGATCAAGGTACTCCGTTCCCTTACCTGGGGCATCGACCAAGCGCCACCGGAAGAAACAGCCGTGAGCTAACCATGTCGGGCGTGAACCCACAACTTCCTATTCATCCATTAAACACCCCGGGGAGGGATAAAAATGAGAGAATAAAGAATAGAGAGGTGTAAGTTGAGAGGAAAAGCAAGAAAAGGGTTTTGAGAGAAAAACCAAGCTTGAGGGCCGACTGATGTGAGAATCACAAATAAGAAAGGGTGGGAAACAATACCTAGAGAAACTGGCTCCTCGTGATCTGAGGTCCCCTGTCTCCGTTAACACGTCTGTATGTCGTGTCTTTTGTCTTGTTTACTTTAACCTTTGTTTTGAGTCTTTTCCGAGTGTGTCTCGTTGTGTTTAGGTTGTTTACCTTTTTTGTCTTCGCTGTTGAGTCATTCTTGCTATGTCCAGTTGTAGGCTCACTACCCTGGTTTAAAAAAAAAAAAACCCTTTTCAATCTCAAAAATTAATCGTTTTGTGCTCAGAATGCTGTGCCATTCTCCACATTTGTGCAAAAATATGATTTGGTTCTTTCATACAACTGCAGGGTCTACCCCCGATAAGTATGAACAGGAAAACCTGGGCCTCTTTGAAGCTTCTGGGTTTCAGACCGCATCTGAGTGTGCTTCAACTATAGTAGATTCAACCTTCATGGTCCGTCTTGTCAGATTTGGGCTGTTTGTTCAGGATCCGCTGTGTGCAAAATGAACCAAGCGCTGTGTTATGAGCTGTATGTAGATTAATCCCCAGTAGAGTATGAGCCGAGTGTTCAGAATGTGCAGTGGTTGGTTTGGGCGGTTTTGCTGTTGGCTGGTTCGTTATCTGATTATTACAATGCAAGTGTTCAATTTTCAGACAACAGATCAATTTCATTTACATTGAGGTGCAACATGATGCAATGCGATGCAATATATGAAATGTACAAATGCAACACTTTTTCAGACAAAAAGTTTGTTTCATTTCATCATCTTTTTCAAGTACATGGTTTTGGAAATAAAAATATGCCTGCGGCAGTACAAGGTACTCTAGCTACCAGCAAAAGGTACAAAAGAAAAAGAAAAAGAAAAACAGCAAAAATCTGGATCAATGACAAAGAATCTCAGGCCTGGGAGTCCGTCCTAGTCCTCTTCCTGGACGAAGGTCCAGGAGCATCATCAGCGCAGTCATTTGAGCCCGAGTCCGAGCCGTCTTCGGTCTCCTCCTCCAATGACTCTGTCTTCGCCTCCGCCTCCGCCTCCGACTCCTCGTCATCGTCATCAGGGACTGGAGCCTGCGAGCTACTCCCGACGTGAGTGCGCCCGCCTTGGTGCGGGGGAATACTCTGCCCTCTCCATCTCCTCCTGCAGGAACAGAAGGCCTAGCTAGAACACCTCCCACAGTGGGAATCTGGAAAGGAGGCTGAAAAGTGTAAGAGACAAATGCATCAGTATGCTGTGAGCAGTTTATCAGTGCAAAATGCAGTGTATGAGTGCAGTGTGCGAATGCTGTGAGCAGTTTATCAGTGTAGAATGCAGTGTATGAGTACAGTGTATGAATGCCGTGAGCAGCTTATCAAGTGTTGTGTTGTGCACCAGATTATGTGAAGCAGCTTATGTGTATGGTTTGAGACCGTGATCAGAAGAACATACCGGAATACTATAGAGGGCCAGGAGGTCGAAAGTCTGCTGCAACATCCCCATCATGGAGGCATTTAACTCCAAGGACTGCTGGGTATACTCGGAAGAAGCCTGCAAAAGTATCAAATGCATTAGTATTCTGCGGAATATCAAATAAACTGAAATGAAATACAAGATGTATAAAATGTAGTAATACATACCGGAGGCAAGTCATGGAAACCGACCAACTCGTGGTCAGCTGGAGGAGGAGCAAAGGGGATCTGGTAGGTCGCCCCACCCTGCCCTCTGTATGTCAGTGAGGTGGGCAGTGCAGGCCAGCCACCCCCCCGCCATCTCTGAACTCCACCCCTGCCGCGGACCCGAGCTCTCCTCGATGCTCCTACCCCAGTCCCCGCTCCTGCCCTAGCTGCCGGCGCCGCGGGTCTCTCTCCCTCAACTCGATGGCCGCCGCTCAGAGGCCGCATAACATACATCTGCACGTACTCTCTGTAGTCACCGATGCCTCTGAAGCGGGTCGCATCCTAGCTGATCGTGTAGTCGGCCATCTGCTCGGCGGTGAATCTCTCAATATCCCTTATATGCTCAGGAGGGTGAATTGGGATTAGCTACTCTGGTAACCCTATGGTCTGGCGTAGGAAACGCTCGCCCAGGTAACAAGCCCGACAGACCGGGCCCTCCAGCAAAATCCGGAAACGCGAGGTCTCCTCAGCACCGACAAATCGATCCCGAATCACGGCTGGCAATGGAGCCCAAGGCTGCCAGGTGATCTGAAAATGAAATACAGATTGTTATCTACTATTATTGACAATACAGTGTAAAGCGAAGCTTAAATGAACTGCAAGTAAAACATACCTCTGCGGGAGTGATGGTGTCAAAATAGCGGCGGAAGAAGCTAAACGTCTCCCGAGGCCTCCGTACGCACCTCCCGTCGAAACAGCGCGAAAATGGAACGACGAGAGGGGTCTCCGCATCTGGCACGGGGGCGAGTCTCGGAAAGTAGGCGTAGACCCACAACTGCAGAATAAATACCAGTATGCTTATCAGATAAAGCAGAATACGAAAATAAAACAGAGATAGCAGAGCCGTGTGCAGTATATTGAGCAGAGTGTACAGTGTGAGCAGTGTACAATCAGTGTAAAGCAGAGTATGTGTGTGCCGTGTGTACAGTATACATTCAGTGTAAAGCAGACCACCATGTGTGCAGTGTACAGAGTACAGTACAGAGTACAGATAATAGAAAGCAGAAATGAAATATTAAGAAGAAAAAGGAAGCGTACCTCCCAAGCGCGCCAATAGCCCCCGAGCAACTGTCTGCTGCCATGGGAAGCTGAGCTTATGTAGCCGTAAAGTGTAGCCAAAGCGACACCACCCCAGTCATAGCGCAGGATCTGTGTGATATCCACTAAAGCGCTGAGCAAGCAGAGGGGCACGGTATTCGCCCGGTTGGCAAAAATAGTCATCCCCAACAGAAACATCAGAAAGCCGTGGGCGTACTGCTCCACCGCCTCCTGGGTCATCAGAGCCTCCTCGGTCAAAGCTGATTGGACCCTGAACTGGACCTCGAACCAGGAATATCGGACGAAGTCGGGACGTACGAGAGGTGGCACTTCACCAAGCAAATATGTCTAAGCGGCCTCCCACTCGTCCATGTCAGTATCAAAGGGGATCGGATCACCCCCTATCCCGATGCCGGTGAGCATCGAGAAGTTGTAGGGAGTCATCATCATGTCTCCCATAGCAGAGAAGTAGAAGGAATCGGTGGTGTCCCACTACCTCTCCGCTAGAGCGGCGATGAGAGGCCTGCTCATGGTAAGTCTGGATAGTCCTCTCCAGAATGCACCGAAGCCGGCCTGATCTACGATGTGGCGAATCGCATTGGGTTGCTTAGCGTACCAGTCTCGAGCGGCGATGTTCCCATACCCCCGGACGGTATGGGAATCTCCCTGTTTTCAAACAAACAATTGTGAAGCGATGCTAAATATACCAGTTTTGAAAGGCATTCAAAATTCAGGCAAATATAGCATGTGTGCGTATTTTCAGATTCAAACAACTATTGGTTACCGGTGTGCTTACAGTGAACTACAACGTGTGATGTGTCACTGTGTTTGAGTGGTTTAGTACAGATATAGCGTGTGTGCACGTGTTCAGATTCAAATAGGTACCGAATGCCGGCGTGCTCGTAGTGAACTACAACATGTGATGTGCCAACGTGTTTGAGTGGTTCAGGGCAAATGTAGTGTGTGTGCACGTGTCAGTTTCAAACAGATATCAGTTGCAAGTGTGTTCACAGTTAACTACAGTATACAGTGCATCAGTGTATCTGAGCTAAGCAGTTAAAGAATATAATCAGCTATGGCAGTTGGCGGTTAAGTGTTCTACGTCGCGGAAAGTAAAACAGAGGAAGGAATGTTACCTCCGAAGTGCTGAAGTTTCGGTCGAATGAAAGTGTTCGAAACGCGATGAACTTCGCGAATCAAACAACTAAATAGGACCTAAAACTGAGGAAAGCGGCGAATGGGAGAGAGGAAAATACTCTAGAGAGAGGGGGGAAGGAATTTTGGCCAAGAGAAAGTGAAAAGAATAGGGCTAGAGGCCCTATTTTATAAGACCCAAGGCGAAAGGACAAAACTACCCCGATTCAGCAACATTTGTCCGGTCGGTTACATCTTTGTCCGGTCGGCCAAATATTTGGCCGGTGAGATGTTTTGATGGCCGGTGGATGGCCGGTGACCTCCCCTGATGGCCGTTGAGCCAACTATAACCTTGTTTGGGTCAGATGTATAGTTTGGGGCATTTATTTCTCAAGATAGTGCATGACAGTGCCTTTCCAAAGCTCAACCGGCCTCCGTTTTGACCTCGGACCATGTTTTCTGTGCTTGGCACTCGAATATGTGCAAGGTGTATCCTTTTTGTATCCTTTTGTCTCTTTTAAGATTCGAAATTTGCCCCACATACGTTGTTTTGCAAACACGTGTTGAGTTATACGTCATTATGCTTGCATTGTTATGCATTCGTCATGGTCTGGCGAGACCTTAAATACGCTCGGTCTAGGAGACCATAAATCCTCTGAAGCTGCAAGTCCTTCGGTGTTTGTCGTGCCCGAACGACTTTTGGTAAGTTGCATTGTACATGTATTTAAAACGACTCGCGTCGTCGCATATTCAAGTTCACATGCATTATCATGCATTTCAAGCGATGCGCGTCATCGCGCATTCGAGTTCATAAGCATTTCGAGCGACACGCGTGGTCGCACATTCAAGATCATATGCATTGTCATGCATATCACAAGACGTGCGTTGTCATGTGTTTACATCAACATGCATCAACATGCATCGTTTGCATTTCAAACAAACCAAAAACAAAAAAACAACATGCATATGTCATGCATTTCATTGTAATATATTGCATATGTCATGCATCCCGCTATATCCATTCCATTGTATATTGTAGAGTTGCATTGTAGCTTGCATGCATTCATTGCATCACCTCCATCTAGGGTTTTCACCTTTCCTTGTTGAGCTTGGTCTGGTATGTGCCCATACTTTTCATGTCTATACACTCATAGTTCTGTATGACCGTTCTATGTTAGACGTGATTTGTTTGTGTCCATGCCTTTCCTAGGCAAGATACGGTTTGGCCGTAGGCCTTAATCCACTATATCCATTCCATTGCATATTGTAGATGTTGCATTGTAGCTTGCATGCATTCATTGCATCACCTCCATCTAGGGTTTGCACCTTTCCTTGTTGAGCTTGGTCTGGTATGTGCCCATACTTTTCACGTCTATATACTCATAGTTCTGTATGACCGTTCTATGTTAGACATGGTTTGTTTGTGTCCATGCCTTTCCTGGGCAAGATACGGTTTGGTCGTAGGCCTTAATCCACTATATCCATTCCATTGCATATTGTAGATGTTGCATTGTAGCTTGCATGCATTCATTGCATCACCTCCATCTAGGGTTTGCGCCTTTCCTTGTTGAGCTTGGACTGGTATGTGCCCATACTTTTCACATCTATACACTCATAGTTCTGGATGACCGTTCTATGTTAGACGTGGTTTGTTTGTGTCCATGCCTTTCCTAGGCAAGATTTGGTTTGGCCCGCGCGCCATATCCATCATACATATTACATTGTAGTGTAATTTTTGCATCCTGCATTAGGATCATGTTCTTTCGTTAACGGATCATTCCCCACTTATTTCATTCCACCCAATTACTTGTTCTTGCGTCCGTCTACATCACTCATAGTTCTGCATGTGTACGCGCTTTGAGGGTTGCGGCACCTTTTCTATGGTAGACGGACTTGTTACCTCCATCAATCTATTTGACATTGGTGTGGTTGCTTATGCATCCCACCATGATTCAATTGCATTGCATTTCATTTGCATTGTTTCAATTGCATTGCATTTTCATTTGCATTATTATACATAGTTTTGTATATATTGCATATCATTTTGCATTGTTTTGCATGTTGCTAACAATATTGTACCTGTTAAGTTTGCTTTCTTTTCAGGCACGATATTGTATGTACGATTTATTTGAGGTTGGTGCAACCAGACGAACTGGACAGATATTGTATCCTCTACGTGAGACGTATTGAGAATTGCATAATTCTCTTATATCCTTTCTGCATTGTAGTGTAGTTTGGTGTATGCTAGCTTAAAACTGTTGCATTATTATGCTTTGTTACAGCTTTCTTTGCATGCTCATAAGCTATGTTCGACTTTGTGCATTGTCTTGCATTTTGCCCCTGCCTTCGGGCGCATATCTTGTTTGTCTTGCATGTTTGTCTAAGTCTTCGGCCTTGTCAAAAATGGGTCATCTCTGGGCTTTGACATTTACTCCCGCCATTGTTATGACTTTCGAGTTCTGTCAAAGAGGGGCAACTGTAGACACCCCATTTTTGACCGTCCTCAAGACTTGGACGTCACCGCTTGAACACTCGGTGATCATCCATGTTTGTGTTCGTCTTGAGTTCCCGGAGGTCTCGGCTACGCGCCTTGCCTCAAGATCTCTCGACTCGACTGTTTTGTGTCTGGTTTTGCGCCAAACACTTGTGCTCTGCCTTGGAGGGGTAGGGAATGGCTTGTGGGCCATCCCCACACTCCACTGGCCATGGCTTGAGGCCACTGGCTGTGTTTTGTTGCCACCGGCCGAATTCTTGGCCGGCCGACACTATAGATGGCCGGCCGGCTATCTTTTTTTGGTCAATTGCATTTTTGGCCGGCCGACTACTGTGCATCTGCTTTTGCAGATATTTTCATGCAGCTGGCATACACTGTCACCCCCTCCATACACGTGTATGGAGGGATTGCCCTCTTGTTAGCTTCCTTTGGAAGCTTTACAAGACTAATTGTCTATAAAAGAGAACCTCTTCTCTCTTGTTCAGGGGTTAGACAACTTAGACAACATTTTCAGAGCTTGAGCTTTAGGGTTAGGGTTTACATATATCCTCTATCTCTATATCTCTCTCTCTCTCTTGTGTTTAGTGTGTGTTTAGTCTCATTTTTGTGCACAAACACCCACCATCACACCTTTTCTTAGTTGCTGAGGTACCAGAGGTCTTTCCTTGAAGCTTTTGGACTGGTTTGGAACCAAAAGAGCTGCTGGAACATTGTTTGTGAAGAGGGTCTACAAGGGTAAGATCGGCTCGGGAGCTTGGGTACGATCGGGGAAGGTCAGCTATGAGCACCCCCTATATCAACTTGTTACTTTTCTATATTTTTTTTTTAAAAAAAAAACTGTTTTTGAGCTTAGCATATAACATATAAAAGTCTTGTTTTTGTCTGCTCTAAATAGTTTGTTAAGGGTGTTTTAAGCTTTGGGGTTGTTTGACCCCTCTTAAGGCTTGTTTGGCCTTTGTTTTGTGCCATTTTGGTTGAGCTCCGGGACCATTGTGTTTGGGCCTCCTCACCACTGAAATCTTGAGGTATTTCAGTGGTGAGGATGGTTCCTTGAGGTCCTAGGAAGGAGAGGGCCACCCCCTCTCCTTGTTGTCCTTGAAAAGGG